AGGCTGAAAATATTGTCTAACCTTGAGTTGCTGAGGCCTTGGACACCGCCATAGCGTCCTCAGGGGTATTGCTGGGTCTCTGGTCGTCATATTTCTCTCATATTGGACTTTAGCCTCATGCCGCTGTGATGAAGAGTGATGAAAGGAAATACATTTGTCCAGGATCCAACAATCCCCCTGTTATGTCATAAGCAGCAACAAGAAAGGGCTCACAGAGGGAAAGGCGAGTCCAGCAGCAGCATTCTGACAAAGTAGATGGTCAAAACAGGCAAATGTGAGGCTGCTTGGACCTCAACCTCATGTTGTTTTAAGTCGAGCAATCAAAAAAATAATGTGAGGTTGATTTGTTTTTTGCACAAAAGAAATTAAAAAACTCTCAATTTGGTCAAACTTCTAAATTATGAGGTTTTCGATTTCAAGACTTGGTCAACGTTAAAACTGTTCAGGGCATCTCTTAAGTCAAGGGTATCCAAACATTTTAGTAAGAGGGCCACATTACTTCACCAGACTAGTCCAGAGGCCAACTTCACGGACTAAAAAACTGTCTTGACTGAAATCAGGCTGTTCTAAACTTTAAAATAATCTATAAAGAGCTGAAGTTGGCTGAATGACACACGTTTACCATCTCATTAGCTCACAAGTTAACAGTTGAATTACGACATGTCTATAGTGGCTGAGCTGAAGTTGGATAGATGACACAGATAACTTGTGTTTATGATAACTTGTGTTTATGATTTTAGGCCCCATTTTATTCTCTATTTATATGCTCCCCCTAGGACACGTTATGGCCCGTCATAACGTGTCCTTCCACTGCTATGCGGACGACACACAGATCTACCTCCCGCTGAGACCAAACGACCCTGGAAGTCTGGCTGCTGTGGTCGACTGTTTTAATGATGTGAACCGTTGGATGGCCCATAACTTCCTTCAACTCAACACCTCCAAATCAGAAGTCCTCCTCATCAACCCGCCTCCATCCATATCCCACATCCAAACCCACCTCGGCCCCCTGTCCTCAAACATCACTCCCTCCGCCCGTAACCTCGGTGTCATTTTTGATTCTCACCTCACCTTCCGCTCCCACATCAATAAAACCACCCAAACCTGCTTCTATCACCTCCGCACCATCTCTAAGATTAAAAACATTCTCACTCCTCCCGATCTCCATAAAGTCGTCAACGCCCTCATCTTCTCCCGCCTCGATTACTGTAACTCCCTCCTCTCCGGTCTTGATGCTAAATCCCTCTCCCGCCTCCAACTGGTTCAGAACGCAGCAGCCAGACTTCTCACTGGTTTTAACAGAAGGGAGCACATCACCCCTGTTTTAGCGTCCCTCCACTGGCTCCCTGTGCGATTTAGAATTGATTTTAAGATTTTACTGATTACTTTTAAAGCTCGTTTAGGTCTGGCACCAAGCTATATTTATGAACTTTTAACCCCCTACGAGCCCCCCCGCAGCCTTAGATCCTCGGGCAGGTCCTTGCTGACCATTCCAAGGTCGAGGCTCCGGACGAAAGGTGATCGAGCCTTTTCTGTCCGGGCTCCTCGGCTTTGGAACGACCTGCCCGAGGAGATAAGGCTTGCACCATCAGTATCCTCTTTTAAATCTCTTCTTAAAACCCACTTTTATAAAACAGCTTTTAATTGTCAGCTTTAAACTTATAATGTTGTATTTTACTGTCGGTCCTGTCTGTTTTGTGGTCTTGTGTTTCCTCTGTTTGTCTTGTCTTCTTGCATTCATTCTTATTGTTTTAACTTTGTATTATGACTGATGTATTGTTTATTATGCTGTGCAGCACTTTGTAAACATTGTTTTTGAAAAGTGCTTTATAAATAAAGATTTATTATTATTATTATCTCAAAGTGTACTTCGGGTATGCAAGACAGAGGGCCACAATCGGCCCCCGGGCCTGAGTTTGGACAAACTTGTCTTAAGTACAAAACAAGATGCTCACTATAATTACAGACTAAAGAAAGACAATTTTTTTATAGTTTTATATTTTAAAAGTAGTTTAGAACCCATTTCAAGCCGGTGCTATCCACATGAGTGAGTGATGGGGGAGAGCTGTAGGGTCAGAGAGTGTTTGGACCTGTGTCTTGTCTATGTGTGTGTGTGTGTGTGTTTTATGAAAGTGTCTGCTTCATTCAACCCATTTTCAAACAGTGCATTTCTGCTCACTTTTGTATCGTGTGTGTGTAATTCAATTCATTTCATTTTGTATATTCCTAAATAACAACAGCAGTCGTCTCGGAATCACAAAGTTGTTGATTAATCACCAAGAGATCATAGAATTAAAAGGTTCGAACACAGAAAATGCAATAATAACAAACACATTGGAGCCATTGGTTTATAGGGAGCAGGACGACCACTGTTCATAAATATTATCACTGTCCTTTAACCCCCGAAAAAGGAACGAATTATTAGTATTGTATTGTATTGTGTATCTGGTCAAAAGGTGTGTCTGATGCTGTTTAACACTAATTCTGAAACTACTAGAACTCTCAGAGCAGTCATTTGAAAGTAGTGTCCACTACTCGTAGTACAATGTGCTAATTATGATCGTATGATGTATGATTCATGGTTATCCATCCATCCATTTTCTTCCCCTTAATCCATTTCTGGGTTGGGGGGGTGGCAGTCAGAGCTGCACCCAGTACACAGAGCACCAGCCCCTCACTGATCCACAGGAGCTGAGATCTTTTAGTGGGAGCTTCAGGCAAAGTGGGGTTAAGTGTCTTGCCCAAGGACACAACGACAGCAGTCATCAGTGGGAGTCGTGAAGTAGGTCTTGTGGTGGGCTCGAACCCACGACCTTCAGGCTTAAAGGCCAATGCTCTACCAACTGAGCCACTGTCGCCCCAGATTCATGGTTAATTAGCTCTTAATTTGTATTTATTAAGCATTCTATAGTCCTTATACAAGGACTAAAGAATGCCTTATTCAACATCTAACTAACAACTAACTGACACTTTCACATGCGGGTTAGGATTAGGATTAGGATTACGGCTAAAATTAGGGTTAGGGTTAAGGTTAGGGATATGGTTAGGGTTACGGTGAGGGTTAGGTTACATACAAAAACACTTAATTAGCTGTTAATTAGTGAGGGCTAAACTACTAACTACTGCAGGTAAACACTATGTTTCTATGGTAACCAGCACTGGCTCCAAGCTGAGATAGCTCTGAACCAGTATAGGACCAGTCTAGGGTCAAGATAAAATAATAAACATATATACATGGAAATAATTAATTAATTACGTATAGAAGTTGGAAAGTTATGACAACCAAAAACATACATATGCACTTCCAAAACGAAAACATTCCCGTCAAATTGACTGCTCTGGGAGTTCTAGAATACGACAGTAGCTGGAGTTTTCCGTCGTCTGCAGTGATGTATATGTGGTGAGCGCAGTCCCCTAAAGAGATGAATGATTCACTGAGGGAGCTGTAGTAGCAGGGTCCAAGGCCTGAAACCGGACCCGGACTAGACCGTGTTGACTGGTGCAGAGCGGTAACGTATCACTCACAGGAATCTCTCTCTTCCTTCGCCACAGACACCGTATTTTATTTGGCATCTCATCGGGAAGTTTGGGGACTCATAAATTGCTATAAATATGTGTCATGATGTAAATGTCATCGGATGTAAGTTACTAGAAGTGAAATGGACTGGGTCAACATCCACATTGTTCTACAGTTTTACATTATAATCAAGAAGATAATCAAAAAGGCTGTTCAAAAAAAGTAAATGACATAACTACAGTATGTGTATCTATCAGTAAAAACAGAATAGGCCGATGACCTTCTCTACTTGGGGTCATTAATTAATGTGATCTTGTCCAATTTCTAAAATCCATGTAAAATTCTTAAAGCTGGGGTACCTAACTTTCAAACAACAAAAATTTATGTATTGAAATGCATGTAATTAGTTCCTCATTCTCATAACAGAACCTGCTGTGTTTCACATTTTTTGGCATCTGTGACAATGGTATGTCAGCTGTCGGTTCTATTTGTTTGCTAAATATTAATTTTGCTATATTTTCTTTTAGAAAAAACATAATATGGGATAAAGTTAGGTCTTCTAATTTTAAGTCAACTTAATATGATTTGTGTTCAAACTGTTGCTGTCTTTTTGCTGAGACAACAGAAAGACAAATGGATGAGGGTTGAAGGGTTGGTGTCAAATATGTGTTTGCTTTGTCCAACCCAATTTAAGATTGTGTCGGTCTGCTGTTTCCTCAATACAATCTAAACATTTGAAATAATATCAAAACTATTTAAAGACAAGTATATAGACCTATATACACTATAAACTTTAAGTGTGTGTACTTTTTGGAACCCTGGAGAGAATGGCAACCCCATGATTGTGCTAATGGAAATCTTACATAAACTTGTGTCTCATCTTGAAATGGAACATTACTAAACGCTATTAAATTATGGCTTTTTATATCAATAATTATGAAGCGCTGTGTTCTCTATTGTCCCACACAATAAAGCCATCTTTCCCTTTGATCTCTCCGCAGTCTAATCCCCTTCATTATGACATAAACAGCTGTGTTGCCATGATCTTTCCACATTATCTGCGTATTAGCACTTGTTAGCATGTGTACATCAACACCAAATCCCCTTTAATCTCTGAAGAATCACCCTGGTCTTGTTTGGATTACATATTTCCACATATTAAGACTATGTATGCGGCGTGAGCTCGATGTTGTTGAATGATATGAAATTGGTCACAATCATCAATAACACAAGCTTATTTTTGGTTCATGTCATTCTCCCAGCAATGACACGGGCAGAGCCGAGTGTCCTGTGTCAGTGCAGTGGTTGTAGAGAGTGACAACATGCATCAGAAATAGCAACACAACGTCTACAAAAGCCAGAGAGGAGCCCCGGCAGACGACACAACAAGCAGAGGAAGGCATCGGCGAGACAAACAGCTTCAGACGCAAAACACAAGCCACCTTTTTTTTCTTCGTGTTTTTATAGTTTTGAGACCAGAAGGATGTCAGTGTGTACAGTTGTGCAGAGACAAGATGGGGCCCTGGTGGGAGCAGAGCTGGCCTGCAGTGTCCGGGAAGAGAACAAAGCCCTGAAGGAGAGCTACAGTGCAGACTGGAGGAGTGTGAGCCTCAGAACACAACCACAGGACAGGTATGAAGCAGGGAATATTTAGATTTAGAAAAAAAAAATATATATATATATATTGGTAATTTATATTGTATTAATTTTCTTTTGTAGTCATACTTTAATCAATACACATTCAACAGACTGTACAAGCACAGTTATTTGAACAAAACAAAAAACAAGGAGAAAAGGAGAAAATAAACAACAATAGATTATATATTTAAAGTTGAAAATAAACAAATAAAATAAAAAAATAAAAAATTAGATAATGTATATAATAAAAAATTAACTTGAATGGGGATATTTTTTCAATCGTTGTTAGTGGTCATTTGAAGCCATATTGTGAAATAGATAAACATTCTATATTAAAATGATACTGGCAACAGGAACTAAACTCATCTGGTCTGACCCTGTTTAAAAATTTCCATCCCTCAGTTCGTGGTTGCGTGTATTGCCCTTTTAGCAGCTACATGACAGGAAAATGTGGATGAGGTCTTTATCTTCTCTGATGGTAAAGCTGCCTCCAGTTCCTGTCTGTCAATTCCTGGTCAACCTAGTATTTATTTGTTTATTTGTATTTATTTATGTATTTATTTGTATTCATTTATTTATTTTTATTTATTTTATTTTAATTTTATTTTATTTATTTTTATTTATTTTATTTTATTTTTATTTATTTAATTAATTAATTAATTAATTTTTATTTTATTTTATTTTATTTTATTTTATTTTATTTTTATTTATTTATTTTATTTTATTTATTTACTTATTTTTATTTCAAGCAAATAGTCTGTAGGAACTCAACATATCGGATCAATTGTTTCATAACTTCAAAAATAGAAAACATGTTTTATTGACTATACATCTTCACACCAACACAAAAAAACAAGTAGGGGAAAAGTTTTGCATTATCAATCATATTCTAATCTAAAACATGGCCAAAACAATTAAATCTATGACTGAGTGTGTCAACTTTCAAGCACCACTGTATATAGACACTGTAAATAGGCCGATAACAGAGACAGATGTGTGACTCCTCAGGTGTTACTGAAACAATCTGAAAACAAACAGTGCAGTCACTATCGTCACGGAGAAGGAATGTTCTGTAACGAGGAGCTGAGGATTTGTACCGGATTAAGTGATACAATCGTGAAACTTTCAAAGGAAACATCAAAGAAGGTCATTGGTATCATACTGCATAAAAAAATATAATTCCTGAAACTCAAGGCCGTACAGAAGGCCAGACTTGAACAATAAAAACATAATACAGTCTCAAAACTGAAAACCTACAGAAGAATTCATACCAAAATTGCCAAAGTTGTGAGTTGTTTTTGTTGGATTTAATGTGGGGAGCTTGTTCCTTAGAGACAGATAAAGCCATTTTCAGCTCTGCTTTTTAAAATAGGCCCATTCATTATTGAAAGCACAACTCCTCACTTAACGTTTTTGTCTAAAATCGGAGGAACCTTAATCAAAGAAACACTGCACTCTGAAGTTGCAGCTCAATCTCTCGTTTTTACTTTCAGTCAACTTTAGGCTTCAAACTTGTTTAATGCGAACATCATCTAAAAACCTTATAGCTCTATAATAAATCTTTCTTCTTCTTCATGTTCAAGTTGGAAATTTTAGACTTCTTTGCGTATTATTCTAAAGATAGAGATTTAATGCTGCTTATTTTTATGCTAGAGCTAGAGATGTTATTTTATTTTATTATATTATTCATTTATCTTCATTGCTCTTCATTCCTACTGTTCTGTAACGTCTGATGCAACACTGAAATGTCCCCACCTAATTTAACAGCATCAACAAATTCAATGACTATTAGTGTCTGCTTCTTATCTTGTATTTTCTTTTGGTTGAGATTATTTTTTAATTTTGTTGTAAAGTATATTGTACATCACTTCTATATTTCAGACAGACCATGAACATGAACGACACATCGAACAGAGAGACCATGTACAGACAGTGGCAGGCCCGCACCCTCCTCCAGACCTGTCCCTCCGGAGTCCTCCGAGTGGGAACTCTGGAGACCGGGGTCAGAGAGCACCAACTCCTCCCCAAGAGAAACACCCTCCCACTGCCCATCTTCACCCCGACAGAGCTGGGCATCCGGTTCGGTCGCGGGGCCCCTCACACGGAAGAGGACCTCCAGCCTTTCCCCGCCCCCGATGGCGTGTGTCCCACCAAGAGGTCTGTGGACGAGATCACCAAAGACCTGCCTCCGGTCAAACCCAGCGTCGTGGAGTTCATCAAAGTCCCCAATATCCTGGGAAGGTCCTTATCCCAAGAGGCGCAGAGAGGCTGAGGGGGTGATACATGGAGTGGAATGTCCCCAGTGCGGGATCTGATATCTTATAAGCTGTACAGAGATGTAAATAGTCAAAAGACCCATTTTAGTAGCATAGAAAAGTCTTGGGAAAAGTATGGAAGCTTTTATGTATGCATCTTTTGTGTTGGCGCTGTCGGAGAATTGGCATAGATTCTACATTCTCCAAAGTAGTGGTTCTCAAATGTAATAGTCTGTCCTTTCGATTTTGGCTGTCTGAAATGTGTTAAAGACAATTTTACGCATCCAAATGTATTTTGAGGGTCATATTTACAGCAGAAAGATGGAAAAAAAAAAAAAATCAATTAAAGGACACAAGAATGAGACCAGTTGCAAGTGATCAAAAAAAAACTAAATTTAATGGGGGAAAAAAATCCTTAAATTGTTGCAAGCTGAAACCAATGGATGAAGCCAATCCCAAGACAGAGTTGTTGATTTCCTTCAGTAAAATGAGTAGAGGGAAAGAACATGCATCAGAGGTCTTTGGTAAAGTTAGTGTTCATGAATGTCTCGATTATAACTGATGGAAACTGATGACACAGGGGACAGTAAAGTGAGATTGTTTTGGGACAGAGTGTGAGTGGAAACAGACACAGAGGGGGGTGATGACGGGACCCCCCTCCTGGTCCTGATGGCCTGGTCTGATCCCTGCAGAGGACATGCAGCTCTGAGTGGTCAGCTGATGTCCTCAAGTGTGTGAGATAACGTCTGAAGGACTGCCAGAGCATGTGCACATGTCGTGGTCTGTGAGTGCTGTACCAAATATCATTGCACATTTGTTTTAGGTCGTTCATGTTTTATTTGTGTTGTTTTTAAGTTACATTTTGATAGTTATTTATTTATTTCAATAAAATAATGCTGCTGAAATCTTGTGTTCACCATGTGTCTTTTTTTTAAAGGTTGAGTTAAGTGGCCTATTCTGAGCCCACATGAACAACATCCAGAAGGCTTCTTAATACAAAGTACTCTGAATGGGATCCAAAAATATGTTTGTATTTTGCCTACGGTATCTTACAGTATGGCACTATAGGTGTAGTGGTCGCCAACTTACAGCAGTATTTGCACATGATGACATGTTGTGGTACTCTTAGAACACTGTCTATAATTGCCCTAAACTCTGATAAGTTTTCTAAGTCACCATCATTTACATTTGCAGTAAAGTGTTTTGGTCCCAAAAGTAAATTCTTCAGGGGTGTGCCGGCACTGCCAGTTCTTCGTCATCGCCTTCTAGGTAGTTCCACAGAGAAAAAAGACAATTCAATTTGATGATTAATAAAACCTTTTTATTTATTATAAATATCCACTGAAGTTGGTTAGTTTTGTGCACTAATATTAAAGAATATTTGCTGTTTCAGTTAAAAAGACAAAGAAGGCTACTTCTGCCAAAACTATTCGCTCACTCTCCAAGAGAAATAGGTTGGAGACCTCTGAATAAGAATTTTTCTATCCTAACTGTTTAAAGAGATTATTATTATTATTTTGCAACATTCATATTCCAGCCACTTGAGTTTTGCCAGAATAGAGATAACAAAAACTGTAGCAAGCATAGCAGCAGTAAACGTGCAGAATGTTGATTTTCTGTTAATAAAAGGATGCATGTAAACCCATCCACGCATCCATTTTCTTCCCCTTAATCCATTTCTGGGTCGGGGGGTGGCAGTCAGAGCTGCACCCAGTACACAGAGCACCAGCCCCTCACTGAGCATTGATTATTCAGCAGGGCATAAGTGTCCTGCCCAAGGACACAACAACAGCAGTGTTCAGTGAGAGTCGTGAAGTAGGTCTTGTGGTGGGCTCGAACACACGACCTTCAGGCTCTAAGGCCAATGCTCTACCAACTGAGCCACTGTCACCCCATGCTTGTAAACATCGTCCTTAATTCAGGTGTCTTTAATGTCAAACCAATACAATCACTGTGGGCTTGCTTCTCCACTAATCTGGCATGTAACTCGGCCTGGTGGATCCTCTGACTGAATATAAATAGACAGAACAACAGTGCAAAGCGATGCTTAAAAAGTAGTCCAGCCAGCAAGATAAATCACTGGAATGTTCTTTCTTTGGTCTTATGTCAGCTGCAGTAATCTGACACTGAGTGTTACTTTGACTCATATTTGACCTGAGAACACAGGAGAGCGGTGGTTCCCAAAGCACAGGTCAGGCCAGGACGTTTCTGTCCCAGTCAGTCATCTTCACCAACACTGACTCTTCCTGGTTTTCAGTGGAAGAACATATGACATTTTATTACTTTTACTTTGCTTTAGAATTCATTTTTAACTTAATATTATCGTTTTTTAAAAGTTTGAATAGAATCTTATTTATCTGAACACCTCCAGCCCCCCTTCCCTCCAGAGCTCTACACTCTGCAGATCAGCACCTTTTTGTTGTCTTTAGGACCAGGCTGAAGACCAGAGGAGACAGAGCTTTTCTGCGATGGGGCCACAGCTGTGGAACTCTTTACTTTTGCACATTAGAACCGCAAAATCACTCCAGCACTTTCAATCCCTGCTTAAGACGTATTGTATTGTATTGTATTGTACTTTACATTGGTGTATGGTTTTAAATGTTTTTGGAAACTATAAAGATTATGCATATAACACAATTGTATACACTGAACAAAAAATAAAAATTTATTAAATGAGTTATTTATGTTGAGTTGTTTTTATCTTAATTTGAGAACATTCTGACTGTCTTAAAACAAGATTTGCAAATGGAACAAGGCATTTAGTCGCTTTATTTTCTCATTCTAATGGAGATATTTATTTTATCTTTTAAAAACGAGATCCTTTTTCTTCTCCAATTGGTATATTTAAATACATTTTTGTCAAATTTGAGCATTTTTGTTTTTCATCACTTTTTGCAAACAACATGACAAGCATTTTAAACCACTTTTATCCTGGATTTCAATATATACAAGCTTGCGGCCAGTGACAATCATATGCATTATAACATACCAGGTTTAACAACACAACTCTCCTGTCAGACTAAACAGCATATTCTCCATTGAGCAATTTAAGTAATCATGCAAAACTATTATTATTTGCTATTTTCTCAAGTGCCATTTGCTATTTCTTGTATTTGTGGTTGGAAACTGTGGCTTATCATCACTGTCTGGTGCCTGGGCAACTGAACCAAACCTCCCAAAGCTCCACATTCATCTGATTGAGCTCTTAATCCTCATCTTTTATCAGATATGGAGAAGCTCCGGCCTCGTGTCCTATGTATAAAACTCCCCCAACAGATGCCCCGCACCTATCCCCGCAGACGCACAATTCAGAACTATTTCCAGCAGATGCAGCGCTTATGGGAACAGCGTTGGCGGCCTTGTCACAGACCCATCCGCCAAATTGACGTTGAGATTCTTTCCAACGCCGAAGCAGCAACTGTGACTGCAGCAGTGATGGCTGAATTATGTGGTGTTATTATTATGGCTTCTGCACTGGACGTCTAACAGCAGTGACTCACGGTGAACGTACAATGTGTTAAAACGTCAACATTAGGGATTTTTTAAGGTTTTTGAGTAGACGAAGCTAAAAAGGAAGTCATTTCTTGAGTATGTATAAAGTTTGTTTGCATAGAAGTGGAGGAAGTTAAAGGTTTTTCTGGTAATGATCTGAGAAAACAAGAGCCTCATTCACACTGAGCCAAAACACTGGGATCTCAGAAGGACTCCTGTAGTGTTTTTGCCGAGGCGAGTCTAGTGGGATCGCTACGGAAAAATATGACGTGACAACGGTTTTAAAAGTGAAGTTGACAAGTCACACGAAGGATAATACTTCGCTTAATGACAGTGTGACAAGCCGTGTAATAATTCAATTCAATTTATTTCTTGTATAGCCCTAAATTACATGTTGCAACAGTAGCTATCTCTGAAGACTTTACAAAACTGTCAAATTTGCAAACACAGAGAAGAGATTCAAATAGTTCAAAAACAAGAAATGCAATGACATAAAACACATAGAGCCATTGGTCCATCAGGGGCGGATGAGCAATGTCCATAAATATTGATAATGTCCATAAATGTTGTTGAATCACCACCAACAAGAGGGAAGTACTTACCGTCAATGTTTGGGATTCTTTCTTTTGTAAAATTATCCTTGTAAAATGATGTTTGATAACGTTTATATTTCTTGCTATAGTCCATGAAAATGTGATTCCTGGGTAAACAGCGCTGTGACTTAATAAGGTATATTTTGAAAGTCTGAGGTTTGTTTTGACCATTTTTTTCCTGACACTCTCCCGACATCAACGTGGTGAAAATCCAACACGGTCAAAACCACACGCCTCCCTTTCCCTTTGTTGTCAGATGTCGACACAGCCTTTCAACATGGGTCACAAAACACAGGTCTGCAGTGAGAAAAACCCACTGAGCGACTGTGCGACAAAACAATCATGTTATATCTACATAAATAAAAACAAACAGCCTCAGATGAACCAGGGCCTGCTCTGGAAACACAAATAACACAAGAAAAAACAGTATTCTCCCTGGGCTTTTATCACAAGCACCTCATATAAATATCACTGTATACTCACTGCACAATGGAATCTGTTTTACTTCTATTTCAGAGCGGTGAACTGATTAAGAGTAGAGTGCATTTGTCTTCAGCCTGAGATCTGCTGAAATGACTCACTCGTCCATTTTTAGTTGTTCACGGCACTTAACGGGAGTTGTGTGTGAAGTTTTGGCACTTTGAGGAATCACAAATAGATTATAACTATGACAAAGAGATTGACCAAAAACCAGAAATCAAAACCGCACATTTTCTTTAGACAATTATGCTCAAGCTGTGCTAAAATTATGTATGTTAAAAATTGACTTTCTACTCTAGAAGTATGTATGTTTTTAGCAATTTTATGTAATCTTATATTAATATGGTTTTTGATGTATGGTAAATGTCTGTAAGTGTGATTTGTAAGGCTGGTCTATAAAGTTACTGAATCTATATAACTTTTACTAGATTCATGATACCACAAAAGACACC